AATATTAACTACTTTTTCCTGGGATATAAAATATGATTCAGGTGGGGTATAATTCATATTAAGTATTTGGGTAGCAATATTATTAACTTCGGAAATAGTTATGCTATCACTTAAATGAGCTGAAGAAGAGTGATTCAATTTGAGTGTTTGAGCCAAAATTTCTACTTTCTCTCGCTGAGTATAGTAAATATTGTTGTCGGAATATTACTTGATTTCTTTCTGAAAATTTTAGATATTTTCAAAAAGCCGGAGAAGATTTGTCAATATTAGACAAGGTAATATTCCAGGATTGATTTCTGAAATTAATTATCTCATTTTTTATATTTATGTTCAATCGTGACATTGCATAATAATCGTTTAAATCTCTAAATCTTTTCCAATTTCTTTTGTAAACATTTCTCATTTGTATCATGCTTATTATGCTATTAGGCAGTGGTTTGGTAATTGGCGCTATATGCTATTTCGGAACAGATTATTGCTGCTTTAACAACATTATTAAAAATATTTATCATGTCATCTATTTGACTTTTGTTAGTTATTGCACTATGTTCACCTAATGTGGGAAGATTTTTATTTATGAATTTGGTAAAACGTGGGCAATTTGCCTCGTTGAAAGCGTAGTCCAAGTTATCTACCGACTTGTAACTAATATTGACTTTATAAATAATAGGTAAATGGTCTGATCCTAGATCATTAATAACTTTGACAGCTGACATGTTTGATGATACATTAGTTAAAAATAAATCTAATGTCGATGGTTGTTTATGTGGATTTGCCGGAATATAAGTATATTCATGAGGAAATGATATTTGTGTTTGGTTTAGTTGAATTTTCTCATAGAGTATATTGCCACATTTGTTATTTCTTAAGCATCTCCAATAACGATGTCTGCAGTTTACATCACCACCTAATATGTATTTATTGCTAGTATCAGTTAACTTGCGAAGGTCAAATTTAAATTTAAGTTGTTTTGAGATGTCTGAACCAGTAGTGCTTCCTGGAAAATAACAAGAGTAAATGTCAACACAGTCATTTCCACAACTTACTCTAACACCAATGTTTTCGATAACTTCAGTAGTTTTTGGTGGTAAAGGTTGATGAATAATATTTTTCTTAATTAATATGGCAACTCCTCCTCCTGTTCCTGTTTGGCGATCGAATCTATAACAGTAATAACTATTATATCATATACATATTAGGCAAATATCAACATTGTGTTTCACTAAGAAATTAAAAAGTTCTTCTTTTTTGTACGAATACTACGGGCATTCCATGATATTAACTTGATGTTATTGTTCATTTATATAAAAATTTAAAGGCAAGGTTGGTAACAACCTGAAATTGCTCTTCACGAGACTTACAGTGTTCAAATCACTTGAACATGTTTTTTATTTTATAAAATATTTTATATTATTTAAATTTATGATTATTTATATTTAGTGCGATAGCGCATGTGTGCAATACTAAGATAAGAAAAATCAACCCTTGTCTTGTCACACATGCCTTTATGATATTTATTTTTATCACTTGCGTGCTATAACCACGCAGTGATAAGAATTTTCACTTGATAAGATTGAATGCACATTAAATCGCATGAGGTCTTATCATAGTTCTAGTTAGTTTAAGATTTTTATATTTAGTACTTAAGATTTAAATTTTGTAAATAAATTCAATGTCTTACAAACATTCAACGAGTGCATTACAACAATAAAAGTATGTAAAAAAAATACGCTTCAACATACAGCTTTTTAGATTTGATATTAATTCAAATGTAAGATCTTTTAATTCTTCAAATGAAAACAAATTATTATTGTTATTGACATTATTGTTGATGGATTGACTGAATTGTTGATTATAATTCATTCTAGATGAATTTGAACGATTACCCATACTTTGATTTAGAGTATTTGGGAAATTATTGTTGTAGTTTGTACCATTATTAAATGCTTGTATTCTTTTTCTAGGACTCTTTGGTTGAGATCGTTGTCGAATTTGTTTATATAGTTCTCTACTTGGACATTCAGGCGACATAGCCTTATGATCACCATTGCAGTTCGCACATTTTATAGTTGTAGAGGAGCATACTTCCGTTTTATGGTTTGCAGCGCACTTTGCACAGAATGGTTTTACCTTGCATCTACTGGATCCATATCTGACAATTGTAACATTGTGTTAGCTTCGATTTATTTGGTTTTTGATATTCCCAACTTACTTTAATATAATTAATAGCAGAGTAATTTTGCCTTAGTTCTTTAAGGGTAATTGATTTTCTTTCGAAATAGACGATGAAAATAATATATTCTCTACTACTTTTAGCGAACCTAGTCACCATTTTAACATTGATGCATTTAAGGCCTATATTTATTAGTTGTGTCTTAAAACGGAAAAAACCGTCCGTTTTTCAAAATTCAATCTAGATCAAATTTTATTTAAATTTATCGAAGCTTATGTACACTACCAAAACATTGCGAAATAATGTAAACAATAACATAGAAACCGTTATTAACAAAGCAAGCATAACAAATATGTAGATGTTTGGGATAAATTGTGTTAACATTTTAGTTAAACTGAAAAATTTGATTGATAATAGAATGAAACCATAAAGTGTGGTATACCATTGTAAAGATTTACAAATAAATATAGCCAGCAGAAATCTTGGGAGAAAATTGAGTTTAAAATATTAAAATAAAATACAAAATATAACTAATTTCGAAAAACAGAAAAAACCATTTCAGTGATATTGTATGAGGTTTATAATGTAATAATTTCAATTAACTACATTATATAATTCTATGTAAAAATTTTAAAAACTTAAAAATTTTCCGAAAAGTTACGACTTTTGTAATAATTTTGGAGTTGTATACAAATTTGTGTTATATCATAGAAATCGTTTCTCAAACCTTAAAAAAGGACCTTTGATCCAGCTCACCAAATATTGATGTCAGGACAAACATTTTGAAAAATGCACTCTTAGAATCAGCAACTTCCACTTTGGGGCCACCCTAATGTACATATCTCTCATTTCGTGCACATGCATAAGATCCAAGATAGATACAAAAAATTAACATTTGTGTATGTACATAGATATTTTTGGAAATTTTGCTCATATCTCCATAAATACAAAAATCATTTAGAAGTCAATGAGAACTGGTAAAACACTTTTTTATATATATTTTTGCAATATATTTAAATTTAGAAAATAAATAAAACTTTTTTCACGCAATTTAATGAACTCATAACTATTGTAACCATTTCAAAAAATTAGATTACATTTTTATATTCTTCAGATTCGTATAATAATAAAATATGAAAACTTGTTTTTTTCTGTTAAACTTACAATTTTTTTTATTTTTGTTTAAAAAACTAATACTGAGTTGCTTGTTAAAAATACTGAATTAATAGACTTTAGATCAGACGTCGGCGCTAGTATTGTTCTGACAACGAAGATTTTCGGCAAATTACATGTACACAACACGATCGCAGACGAACTTCTAAACAAGAGCATCAAAAATACAAATATTTTATTTAGTTGATAGACAGCATTCAACAAAGCAGGCTACTGTCGCTTTGTTAAAGAAATTGCAAACACAACTTAAAAAACAAAAACAACTTCCAAAAACAAGAGCATAATTTACAAAAACAACGTACACCCTAAATAATTTTCTAGAATACATAACAATGAAAGTGAATAAGTTCATCTTGTTTCATACTTTTTTTGTACATTTTAATTTGAAATGTTGTTTCTATGTGAAGAAATTATCATTCTTATGTACATTGATTACATTTTGTTTATAAATATTCGCATTTTATAGTAATGCAATTTAATCTTCAAAATTAAAAATAACCAAATATTTTTTTCAGTGCAATTTAATTGAAGAGATCTCAATAGTGTGTGTGTAGTGGTGATTTTTTTATCTGCCTCTCTATACACCGGTATATGCTTCAGATCAAAGTAAATTTATAAAGTAGACTCATTTAAACAGCTGACTATTTTTTTTAAACTTGCCATTTGTGGACTTACTTGTCAAAAATGTTTATGTTGCCATATTTGTTTTCATTTTAACGCTTGCTTTTGTACAAATTTCTGAGTAATTTGTTGTATTTAATGTGAAAAAGTGTATTTTAAGTGTATAATATTTTTAAAAATGTTCTAATTTTTAAAAAATAAAGAAAACTCTGTGACTTTTAATATAAATAACAACATATTTTTGGAAAGTACAACAATAATGCCATATTTTCCATTAATTATTGGTTCACTTTTGTAAACAAATTTTGACAAGTGAGTATTTCGAACAAAAACAAATTGCCTGTGGTTTTTGTAGACGTTTGTTGTACAACTACTAGTGTCGCTACTTTATTAATTTACTTTGCTTCAGATTGATATCAAAACGAACAGATACCACCAACATTTAACTAAACCATATACCGGCGTATAGAGAGGCAGATAAAAAAATCACCACTACACACACACTATTGGCATTTTTTCAATGAAATTGCAATGAAAAAAATATTTGGTTATTTTTAATTTTAAAGATTAAATTACATGCGAATATTTATTAACAAAATGTAATCAATGTACATAAGAATAATAATTTCTTCACATAGAAACAACATTTCAAATTAAAAATGTACAAAAAAAATATGAAACAAGATGAACTTATTTACTCTCATTGTTATGCATTCTAGAAAATTATTTAGGGTGTAGGTTGTTTTTGTAAATTATGCTCTTGTTTTTGCAAGTTGTTTTTGTTTTTTTAAGTTGTGTTTGCAATTTCTTCAACAAAGCGACATCAACCTGCTTTGTTGAATGCTGTCAAGCAACTAAATAAAATATTTGTATTTTTGATGCTCTTGTTTAGAAGTTCGTCTGCGATCGTGTTGTGTACATGTAATTTCTTCGTTGTCAGAACAATACTAGCGCCGACGTCTGAACTAAACCATGATACAACCATTATTATTTTTTATTATGAACTAAACCAAATAAAAACAACAGATTTCTATTAATTACAATTTTACTAAAATTTTTATTAAAACAATTTACTTTCCAATTTTTATAAAATATTACAATTTCAACATTTGACTCAATAACAATTGTTATCTTAATTAAAATAAGTTTGAATATACTTCTACAATTTGGAAAAGAAAAAAATACTAATTCTTAATAACTTACGAATGAGTATATTGTCATATTTAATAGACCTTAACATTTTGGAGGGAACAAAGCCTATCTTACAACTTTTGTACATGATAGAAAAAGAGTAACATCTATTAAATATTTATAAGACGACTTTAAAGGAATATATTAAGATCTTTTTTGGTCAGTCTGAATTTTGAGAACACATTAATTTACATAGTAGTAGCACTGAAAATAAGAAAGAAAGTTAAATATTAATTATAATATGAACATATTTGAAAGTTTACAATTTGTGTCCGATTTATTTGTTTTTTTTTTATACCATCGATTTTTCGAATGAATAAGATATAAAAAAGAACATTAAATAATAACGTTTTTAAATTGTACTTTAAGTAAATTTTTTTTAATTAAAGTATAAGAATATCATGAAATTCATAAAAAATACAAACAAAAACTTTAACGGCAATATACAGAAACTAAACATTATCATAGAATATACATTAGTGTGTCCCGAGGAACAGTATTTTTAAGAATCTCATGTGAAAATACAGTTAATCACAAAAATAAGTATACAGAAATAGTGACAATTAGTTTTATTTAAAAAGGTATAAACAAAGAAGTAACACAATTATTTATTAAAAACAATTATTATAAATATTACTCACTACTTCTTTCTGGATATTTTGGTTATTTGAGTTCTCATTTAAGGTGAAGTTAATAGGTCACAAAAGTAAATATACAGATAGGTCACAAAAGTAAATATACAGAGCTCGTATTCGATATTAAATTGCGATTTCCTAAAATTTAATTTATAAAATACGAAATTATTAATATTTGTTATAGAATCCAATAATTAAAAAAATTTTTTGATTCCAATCATCCATTACACACTTCTAAATACTACTAATAATCGTCCAATGGTGACCATGCCAATAACTTACTCTACATATCGGTTCAGAAATTGGTTATTGTAGAAAATTAAACGTTTTTTGTATTAAATCAGGCTCAATTTGTGGTATGAATTGAACAATTTTGAACACGGATACGTCTTAATTTGTTGTTAGTACAAATAAAATGTCCCATCCATAAAACATGGTCATTGTCTCGAGCATATCAATTGGTAGCATAGATATGCTCGCATCTTGTCGTAATGCGAGGGCTTAAGTACATATCGTGACTATAACTTACTGTGACTAATGTTTCGGCTTCTAGACATGGAAAGCTATGGTTTTAAAGAAATGTATAATTAAAGGTTACTCATCTTATCAAGATAGTGAGTGTGCCTTCCAATCCTACTTCCTACTATCATGACATAGATGATACGCTTTGCTTCCTGATCTGGCTCGCTCTTTGTGTAGTAAGGGCTTTTCCGTTAGGCATAGCGTTATGTGCCGAGAGCCTGGATGGCTAGCCAGTGCATAGTTGCTAACAGCTCCCCTCAGCGACATGGCAAAGCGCGGTTGTAAGCTAGTTGTCTAGTTCACGTACGCGTGGATCCTTCGTCTGTACGTGCATTATCGTGGGATTCAAAATTGAGAAACCAAAAAGACAAATAACTAAGGATGAGAGTAGGGACACGACGGAAATGGTGGTCGACCTGTTAGATAGAGACAAACCGGACGTCACTGTCAACGAGGATGGTGTTGGGGAGTTGGACAGTACATGGGAGGACGGTGACGTTACCCTTACTGACCTCCATTCTAGAATTGTTGAGCATGAGCATGACCGACTTAAACGTGAAGGATTATGGAGGTGCCAAGTGACTCCTTTGGTGAAACTAGTGCAACACAGAAATTGGGGATCTCTGTCTGACGACGAGCTCGCTAACTGTCAGGCTGATAAGATAACGAAGAGGCCAAAGGGGAGACCGCCCATAGGTCGTTCAGCAAGTAGATGTGGATGAGAAGCCAAGTGCCCCTCCACGAGACATTAATAATACAGGCCGAACGAAGAAGGAGAAGACTTGGAACGGGACGTTGAGGTCTCTCGCTTTTCTGTCCAAGAGGGCAAAGGCAGATTCTTCAAAGTTCTCGTCAAGGAAGAGGCTCCTTCTCAGGAGGCATCGACAAAGTGTTGCTAAATTCGAAAGAATATTCGGCCTGTTGGTGACGTTCTGGGTTTGTCCACTCCCTGGAGACAACAGGTGGATGCTGCCATCAACCCGTCTAACACTCATTAGAGTGATGGGTCGATCGGAGCATCAAACTGCAGTCTGCCAAAAGGCAAAGAGGGTGGTATCCCGAAAACCAAAGCCCTAATGTCTTCGGAGCGAGCTGCGGAGGTAAAAGGTTTACCACCCAAAAACCCCATCACGGTGGCTAAGACACCAGGTAACGTTAAAGTGACTGGTAAACTTCCGGCCGATCACCTTCTGATCTCTGCAAGGAGACCAGTAAGGGAAGGGGATCCCGTAGTGACAGATCCTCCAAACCAGTGGTGTCAAAGTCACCAAGCATCCCGAAGAGGTCTGGTTTATCCCCGGCTGGCGCTCCTAAATGTGGAAGTACACGGCAACGCGTTTTACACTTTTCAAACATTTTGCGCTTTACAAGTTACACACCACGCGATATTTTGATCTTTCTTTTAATGTTTTTAAATCTATTACTGTTTTAAAAATCAAAATTTAAAGTTTTTGTTTATTTTTTAATATTTTTCTTTCATTGTTGGTGAAACTTATTTCATTTTAATTTATTCTTAATCTACAAAAAACAAAATACAACCCTGATCAGTTGCCGACGTGACAAAAGTTGAAAGTTGCTGAACTTTTCGCGGCAGACCCGTTACAAACTACAGTGTGTAACTTGTTAAATGAAAATTCACTATTTCAACTTTTGACAGAAGCCTATAACGCGTTGCCGCGCACAACGCGTGTTGTGTTCTTCCACCTTAAGGGTCCCCGTAAAGATACAATTCGGAGAGCCAGATCTGGAGATGATCAATCCTTTTTATCGAGCAAGAAGGTGAAGAAATCATCCAGCAAGAAGGTGAAGAAGTCAACCAGTCTTCAAGTGGCAGTCATTGATCGGAATGATCCAGATGGGAGGATCAGTACCGATTTTTGGCAATCAATTGAAGGTATGCTTATTGATGAAATCGCCATCTTCGGGGGTAGTTCGGAGGATGTATTCTTCAATTGTGCAGACTGGGTTAAAGGTCTGAAGGTTGTTGATTGTGGCAAAAATAACTCCATGAAATTCTTAAAATCTGAAATTGACAAGTGTAGCGATATTAACCCAGCAGCAAGCTTGAGGTTATACAGGTTTCCGAACTGCCACTACGGTCAATAGTGACAGTGTGGATTCCACCACCCGTAAGAACGGTGCAAACGATACTGGCGGTATTGTACAAACAGAATGGTAGACTCCTTTCAAACCTATGGAGACATGTGAACTCACTGGCATGTAAGGAAAATACTGGCAAGGACTTTCGGTTCCCTGCGGATCGCAAGTCCTTAAAAGTCCTTGATGAGATGCTAATTTTGGTCTTGGCACTGTTAGGTTCAGGTACCCGGAACATGACAGAACCAAAGAAGCTGCTAGTGGTGCAGATAATCTTGCATCACTGTGAGGCAGCTTCAGCCGAGTTAGTAACCTTCCTTATCAATTCGAAGACGGACGTGGCCCTTATCCAGGAACCTTGGATTGACAATAATAAGGTTCTTGTTTTAAAGGTCAAAGGATACCCCCTATTTGTCCCGTCTTCCCGGTTTACTAAGTTTTGTCAAGGGAATTAGCCACTTCTTCGGATGGGCTCTATAAGGCGACACATATTTTCTCTCTCATCTCTTTACGCTTGTATTTATAAAAAAAATCTTATTTTGCTTTTAATGCACTCAATAGTTAAAGCACACTTTAGCTTTAAAAACCATTAATAAAATTGTGATATTCATAGACAAATAATAAACGTATATTAACTATTGTGCTGATTTATGTTTAAGTTGGCAGCACTGTACAATATGGCTGTCATTTTATGTGTTAGTGTTGCGTACAATTAGGATAAAATATTCGTTGATTCGGTTTTCTTAATTTCATATTTTTGTTTATAATAGATTTTTGACAATAAAAACAAACTTTTAAGAAAAATAAATATATATATGGCTTTAATAAATGTCTATTTAGTTCAGATGTATAAATATAACATATAATTTCTAATTATTATTAAAAGTATCCGAATAACGGATATTTTGCGACAAAATATACATCACTATGACACATTTTCTTATTTTTACTTATTTTCCTTGTAATTTTTGATAAATTTTTGCAAATATTGATAAATTTCTTTGATATTTGACTAATTTTAATGCCGGCGAATATATTTTGCATTAATATAACATTAATCAATATAATTTACATGGTTAATTACTTTATGGCATTATATTTAACCAACAAACTTTGAAAAGCCAAATCAAATGATTTTGTCCATCATTTGGTTGACAGACGGGCATTTCCAAATTGCCTAAAAATAGTGCTGGACAATTGGAATATTGTCAAATATTCATGCATTAATCCAATAATGCCTAGATTTGAGTTTTTTCCTCAAAATATAATCGTTTAAAAATTTTCTGGGATTTTATTTACAAATTTGTAAACGTTAAAATTAGAATTTTTAGATTTTATTTTAAAAGAAACCATAATTGCTTTTCGCAAACAACCTAAAATTACCGGAAAAATCTTTATCTGAGAAAAAAATTGTTAAAAATCAAGTTATTGTTGGCTTAAAGAAGGGTCGAGCCTACAATAAAATTCTTCTAATTGTCAATGGTTTATTGAAGGTGTTTTAAGCTATTTCACGTTTATAAATACGATTTTCCTGAATTTTGCCTAAAATTGTTTAATAAACCTAAAATAAGTTTTTATAAATACAGCCGTTAGTCTTTAGGGTACTGACTTGATAATTATATATATCCTTTTACCTATCTTCTTATTACTTTTCGGGTTTTCTTGTAGTGGTTTTGTTTCTCTGTTTTTTGAATCTTCACTCTTTGAAGGGAATCACAATGGACCTTGTGGTCTCCGAGTGGGTGCACAACCCTTCCAAACCTAAACCTTGGAAATCGAGGATTTGAAAAACCTGTTTAAACTAAAGAAAATATACACAATTATCCAAATATTTAATAATATGATCGGATTGGAAAAACGTACAGTGTTCAAAATGGCCAAATTCCCAGCATATTGCATTAATTGCAAAATAATAACTTTTTTTCAAAAGTTAAAAATTCAACTTCTAAT